CGCAGCAGAGGCGGCAGAGGGTGTGCTCTGGGGAGGGGCCGCCCAAGGCCGACCTCATGGCCTTCAGCCCCAGTGTACCTGACTCTGGGGACAGAGAGGATCAGCAGCCAGCAACTGAGGATTCTCTTTCAAAGGTTAGTGTATAAATATCCTTTATTTACTCTGAAGTCTCATATTCTTTAATTTTAAAAAATTTATTTATTTTTGGCTGTATTTGGTCTTCGCTTCTGCACGCGGGCTTTCTCTAGTTGCGGCTAGCGGGGTCTACTCTTCGTTGCGGTGCGCGAGCTTCTCATTGCGGTGCCTTCTTGTTGCGGAGCCCGGGCTCTAGGCACGCGGGCTTCAGTAGTTGTGGCACACGGGCTCAGTAGTTGTGGCGACCGGGCTTACCTGCTCCGTGGCATGTGGGATCTTCCCGGACCAAGGCTCCAACCCGTGTTTGCCGCACTGGCAGGCGGATTCTTAACCACTGAGCCAGCAGGGAAGTCCCTCATATTCTTTAATTCTATCAATTTCTTCTTAATTAAAAAAATTCTCAGAACCAAATTTCTCTGAATTAAATGTTTACTTCTTACATACCTTTTTAAACGAAAATCTTTTAGAATTACAGGACACTAAGGCAATACATGTTGTTTTGTTTTTATTCTTAATTATTCAATGCATATTATAACTAGCGTTATAAATTTTGTGGTTACTATCTTCACCTACTTGTTTTCAGTTGTAATCAGCTTTTAGAGAGCATTTTCTTGTTATTTGCTCATAATACACTGAAAAGTGCACAGAATGAATATTATAGCTCTATCAGCTACTTGGAAGTGAAAACTTCTATTACCTCCACTCCAGAAGCCACTAAAATGCACCTCCCAAATATCTTTCCCCTCTTTCTCTCCCAAATGTAGCCACAGTTTTAACTTTATAAATGATTTTGACCTGTTTCCTAAATTTTATTGAAATGGAATTGCACAAAATGTGTTATGTGTGTGCATGTGTTTGTGTGTTCTTCATATTTATCATTCACCATTGTATGGAATAATCCATATTGCCATATGTACTTGGAGTTCATTTAATTTATTATGTTCTCTGGTACTTTGTTTTATGAATAGGGTGTGAGTTATTTGCTCCACTCTTGAGAATTTTACATTATTTCTCTTTATGTCTATTTCACATATTTCTGCCATCAATATATTTGTAACATTTTCAATGTCTGTGTACACATTTTTCTCTATTATTTAGCTAGGATCGAGATTAGTGGAACATAACCTATGTACGTATCTTCTTCTTTAATTGATAATGTCAATCAGTTTCACCAAATGCTTTTACCTGTTCACACTCATGCTAGCACTGTATGAATTCCTATTCTTCTTCATCTCCACAACTTGGCATTGTTAGTTTATTTATATTATTGCCATTTTGCTGGATGTGTTTATGTTTCTTGATTTGTAATTGAGGTTGAACACCTTTTGGTGTTATTATTATTGGCCATTTTTAGATCCTATTTTGTGCAGTAGCTGTTCAAGTCTCCTACCTATTTTTCCTATGCTGTTGTATTCGTCTACTGATTTTTGAAAATTTTCATATACTGGATATAACCCCTTTCTTGATTTTGCACTCTTCTACACTGAGACTTCTCTTTTCGTTCTTTTGTCCTTTGGTGAATAGAAATTTTTTATTTTAGTTAAGTTCAGCTTATCATTCTTTTCTTCTTGATCCTCTTCCATGAAGATAATTTCTTGTGGTGTCTTTTGTTTAATTGGTCACATTACATATACAATCCATTTTGAATTTTTTGTCTTTATTGGGACATAGGGGTCAAGATTAATTTTCCCCAAGGATATTCAACTGAAGCAAGACCACTTGAAAAAGATGAGTTCCACATGTTTTATAAAACACTTTTCTGTTATATAACCATGGTCTTTTTGTTGTTATTGTTGTAATCTATTTGACTTTTTTTTCATTAATGTCATGTTGCCTCTTTCATTTCCACTTAAATTTGTATGTAAATTCCATAAAAACAACTCGGTGAGGTTTTGATTTGGACTGCATCGTATCTACTGAGAAACGTGAAACTAGTTGACATCTTTACAATAATGTCATTCGGTTCATGAGCATGCTCTATGTATCTAAATAACCTGTAATCGTTCTTAATATTTTATAATTTTCTGTGTAGAGGTCCTATATATACATCTTTCATTAGATTTACTCTTAGATAATTGTCATTTGTGATCATTATAAATATCAACTTTAAGCTAAAAATCTTTTCTCTGTTTACTAATGATACGTATGAAAATATTTTGTATTTTTCTATTGACGTGTTATTCAGCTAACTTGCTAAGATAATTTATTAATTCTAATAATTTGTCTATAGGTGCTTTGTATTTTTTGATATAGACAATCATTCTATCAGAAAATATTGAGAGTTGTATTTTTTCCTTTCCAATCCTTATATCTTTTATATCTTTAGTATGCTTTATGGGATTGGGTAGGACCACTAGTACACTGTTAAACCGAACTGGCAATAGTGGACATTCTTGTCTATTTATGAACTCTAAATGAAAGGTTTCAATAATTTATTATTAATTATGTTTGCTGTAGGTTTTTAAAAATTATTAAAAATTCCCTTCTCTTCCTCCTCTTTTTTGTCTTCATTTGGATTAGTATATTATAATTATTTCATTTTCTCCTGAATTATCTTTTTAGTTATACATTCTTTTACTAATTTCTTTATTGATTTCCTGGATACTATAACAAGCATCATTGACTTGTTTAGTATAGATTAAACTAATACTTTTGCCACTTACAGACAATGCTAGGACCTTGAATAATAACTCCATTTACTTGCTCTCACTTTTTCTTTTAATATTATGCCTTTCAATTATACATATACTCTAGGAACAGATTACATTATTATTGTTGTTTTATACAGTTACTTTTTTAAAAAATTAATTAATTAATTAATTTTTGGCTGTGTTGGGTCATCGTTGCTGCAGGCAGGCTTTCTCTAGTTGCGGCCAGCAGGGGCTACACTTCGTTATGTTGTGCGGGCTTTTCATTGCGGTGGCTTCTCTTGTTGTGGAGTGCAGGCTCTATGTGCCCGGGCTTCAGTAGTTGTGGCGCATGGGCTTAGTTGCTCCGCGGCATGTGGGATCTTCCCGGACCAGGTCTTGAACCCGTGTCCCCTGTATTGGCAGGTGGATTCTTAACCACTGTGCCATCAGGGAAGTCCCTAAAGTTACTTTTTCTTGTTTCTTTCTGGGATATCTTTCCTTATGAATAAATTCTTTAATATTTCTTTTAGTGGTGGTAAAGAAATATTTAGTCTATGGAATATGAGAAATATGCTTATTTTGCCAACACTTTTGAAGAATAGTTTTGCTGAATATTAAGTTCTGTGTTGTAAGTTATTTTTCCCTCCAGTGTTTTCAGATGACATTCCATAGTATTTTGAGAAGATGGCTGTCAAGTTTATTGTTCAGGTAGCATAACCTTTTTTCCCCCCTCTAGCTGCTTTGTAAAATTTTTCTTTGTTTTTGATTTTCAATGGCTTTATTATATGCTCAATTTTAGTTTTCTTTGGTTTTATCTTGTTTGCAGTTTTTGTTTTCTAAATTTATTTATTTAATTTTGGCTGTGTTGGGTCTTCGTTTCTGCGTGAGGCCTTTCTCCAGTTGCGGCAAGCGGGGGCCACTCCTCATCACGGTGCGTGGGCCTCTCACTATCGTAGCCTCTCTTGTTGCGGAGCACAGGCTCCAGACGTGCAGGCTCAGTAGTTGTGGCTCACGGGCCCCGTTGCTCCGTGGCATGTGGGATCCTCCCAGACCAGGGCTCGAACCCGTGTCCCCTGCATTGGCAGGCAGACTTTCAACCACAGCGCCACCAGGGAAGCCCTCGTTTGCAGTTTTTAAAACTTCTTGAATATGTGGCTTGATGTCTTTCATCAGTATAGGAAAATTCCAGCAATCTGTCTTCGAATATTGCTTCTGCCTTATGCTTTTCTCTCTTTCTCTTCTGTAACTCAAGGAATATGTGTGTTAAATCCTTTCACCTTAAAGTAATTATACCACAATAAAGATGTTAAAAAATATTTTCACCATATCTCTTATATCTTCTATGCTCTCTCTATTTTTTAAACATCACTTTTGGTCTCTATTATATGCTGTATATTTTATGCTGACCAATCTTATACTTCAGCAAAATTCTCTTCTTATTATTAAATCATCAACTGAATCTAAACTTCAATTATGACTTTTTTTAGCTTTAGGATTGTAATTTCCGTTTAAAAATAGATTACAATTTTCTGGTGAAATTATTATGTATTTATTTCAATACCTTAATCACAGTTTATTTGTGATCCATCATATCATTGTAATAATTGGATCATCTGTGTGTCTTTTTATTCATTTTTTTCTCATGATTCTCTTTCTTCGTAAGCCTGATAATTTTGTATTGAGTTCTGGGTATTGTACATAAGAAGCTGTAGTTGTTCTAGATGTAATTATATTCCTCTAGAAATGGGTAAAGAATTTATAAATATCTGACAGATATGAGTTTAGAACATTTATGGAAAAGTTTGAATTGAGATAAATATTTTATCCCTTTTTCTTTTTTGTCTACTACAATGATGTCTGTCATTACAAATCTTCTGAACATTTTATTTTTCTCTTTCCTACTGACACCCAAGTTCTATTTTGTACTTTCATACAAAGTAAATTTAGTGGAATAAAGATTCTGTACTTTATTTTAAACCCCTTTTCCTTCCTCCACTCCCCTTTCCTTGGTACATAAGAACCAAGCTTATTGAATTTATTACTCTTTAGTTACCCTCCTTTCTTCTTTCTTACCCTAGATACTTGCTAATGGTATAAGAATCTTGCATCTCACCAAATTTCCACTCACTTGACCTAGGATTTTTTTTTGGTGGGGGGGATTTTTTTTAATTCAAACAGAAAGTCACTAAAATTATAATCATCCTCATCAGTTCACTCAGTCCCATGTAATTAATTCTTTTTCATCTTGATCTTTTACTAGCACTTTTATGAATTCATCAGTTTTCCATTAGAGTTCTGAAAATGCTTATTCATTCAGTTCAGCAGTACAGTCAGTTACAAGAAACCTGTACTTGTCAGAGTCTTTTCCATGAATTCCTTGAAGGTGAAACCCTTTTATAGGAACATTTTTGCAAAAGCATCAGAGTACACCCAGAACTGTCTGTAAAGACAAAAAACTTAAAAATAACCATGGTTAAAGATTTGATGAAAGTTCATAATAATGCAATCAACAAGGAAATTTAGTTATTTCTGAGATATACATTTTAAAGTAACAACTAGAATTATGACATAACATTATACCAGAACATATAAGCTTTTTAGAAATTTCATGTAATGTCTGAAACATTTATATTAACATATTTCCATACAAATAACCCAAAGGAAGTTTAGTATTAGTTGTTTTTTTGTTTGTTTTTTATACTGCAGGTTCTTATTAGTCATCAGTTTTATACACATCAGTGTATACATGTCAATCCCAATTGGCTAATTCAGAACACCAACATCCCCACCCCACTGTGGCTTCCCCCCTCGGTGTCCATACGTTTGCTCTTTACATCTGTGTCTCAACT